CGCGCCTGAACTGGTGCCCGCCCTTTCTAAACTATATAACTACTGCCTCAAGGAATCTTGTTTTTCTGACTGATGGAAGTCCTCTTCGATTGTCCCTGTCTTCAAGAACTCTGGCAACCCCTCTGACTCTTCTAACTACCGTCGTATCAGTCTCTTACCCCTCTTCGGCAAAGCCTTCGAAGCCCTAATCAATACCGAAGTGGTTAACCACCTCACATCCCATGATCTGCTCTCAGACAAACAATATGGCTTCCGCTTTGCCCGATCTACAGCTGATGTGCTTATAGCCATCACTGAAACTGTCTACCATACTCTTCAAAATAACGGGGAAGCTCGTACCGTGGCCCTAGATATCTCCAAAGCGTTTGATAGGCTTTGGCATGCCGGCCTTCTTCGCAAGATCCAGGGTTATGGCATTACGGGTCGGTTGTTTGACCTAATACAATCATTCCTGTCAAACCGTCAATTGAAGGTCGTTCTCAATGGATTCTCCTCCACTTCCTATCCCACGAACGCAGGTGTTCCTCAAGGCTCCATCCTAGGCCCCACTCTATTCCTTATCTACATAAATGACCTTCCTGACGCCATAAATTCCCAAGTTGGCATCTACGCGGATGACACCACAATTTATTCCTGCCTCAAAAACAAATCTAGTGTCACTGACAAAACTAACCTGGCCGTTCGTCTCGAAAAGGACCTCCAATCGGTTGGGAACTGGGGCTGGTCAACTTTCATGCTTCAAAAACAAAACTGCTCTCTATTAATCACCACAGAGATCCTTCCCTGCCCTCCATTAGAATGTCTGACGCTCAACTTCTCGAGACCAAATCTCTGCGCTGCTCGGTCTCACGTTGACGGCTGACCTGAGATGGAACAAATACATTGAGTCAATTATTCGTCCACCGCAAGGAAAGTTGGCTCCCTGTGCCGCCCCAGGAAATTTTTTCTCCGGAATCGATCCACCAGATCTATAAATCAACAATTTGTCCTTGCTGGAGTATTGCTGCCATATATGGTCTGGCGCCCCTTCTGTTTGCCTCGGGGTTCTTGATAAGCTCCAGAGGTGGATATGCAATGTAATTGACCCTGCTCTGGCATCTTGTCTACAGTCACTTTCTCACAGACGCGTCGTCGCCTCTCTCTGTCTGTTTTACAAATACTTTCATGGCAATTGCTCCTGGTTCCCAGACTTCATGAGTTCAAGCGCCCTACGAGGCTGGCATCCCGCTATCACCCCTTCAATGTCGAAACTCCTAAATGTAACCGTCTCTTCTACTCCAATAGCTTCATGTCTCGCACCTCTCGCCTGTGGAACTCCCTTCCCTAATCCAGTCACCCTGAGAGCTATAATCTCCAGCTATTCAAATGTAATGTCAATCGACATCTCCAGTTGCCTTGATCTATCCACTACCCTTCTCATTATCCTTTCTTTTATCACTCCTATCTGATCTTGCTCCAAATTTTTTGTAACCCCTACGTTTTAATGGCTTCCCGCCTTGCTTGGGGTGAAACGCTTAAAAAATTTAAAAAAATAAGTACAAAAAACCATAAGTCAAATAAAAATGAGGCAAAAGTGGGAATAAATATCATGACAGATAATGAGGTAAAGACTCAAATAAGTGAGACACAAAATTATGAAAATGAAGAATCTATCTGTGATATAAACAAATTCATTGATTGAGATTGTGTCAATAATAATAATGAAAAAAAAATTAGAGCAGATTTCTTTGAAAAAAACAGAGTTGAAATCACTGCAATGAAAACCCACACCTTCCAAATAATCAGTAAAGTAATCACAGAAATATCAGAAAGAGATCAGTTTCAAAAGATCCACATGACAATGTCCAATAAACATACTGCGCAAACATGCAACGCTGCATTGCAAACATTCTTAACGAACAGACCACTGGAATACATTGCAGAAGTATTTAATATCATATATGCAATAATTTTAGCAGCAACTGGAAAACGGCATATCAAGAAACGAAAAGATCAAATAATAGACTAAAAGAAACTGCTTAAAAATCATCATTACAGAGACAAATTGAAGAAATGAGATGTGAAAAATCAGAAAAAATCAAGGGGAAATATGAATTATTAAATACAATTCGACCAAAGAAATACTTAAAAAGTAACTGCAATTAAATACCCAGAGAACAAGGCGATATGAAAAATAGTGTAAGTTCTATCGCCAAAATAAGATAATTCTAACAGAAATAAATACGTTTTAAATGGAAATTGGAAAAGTATTTATAGAAGTCAAAAAGACGTTATCTATTGAAGGAGAGCAAATATGTTTTGCGATTATTTGAAGCAGCTCAAAGGAATATAATCTCAATCCAGAGTGCGTCAAAACAGAACAAAACAGAATAATGGATAAACGTGTACAAGAATGGAAAAATATAATAATTAATAATGTATCCAAAATAGATCACAGAAGTTATTGCGTATCTCTTACCAAAAAAAAAATAAAATTCGGAAACAGATAGTCAAAAAATTATAACGTCAGTAATATCCCTGTCCGCAACATTTAGATTAGTAATGTCTCTACTGACACGCTGTACTTACACTTTCCTCGATGAAAATAAGATTATTCCTTTAAAACAGAAAGTATGTTTAAGAGGCTCGTATATTTAATAAGATCAACTATTCATAAAATAATCCTAGAAAAATATAGGAAGAAAATGTAGACACTTCAGCACCGCTTCGATAGATTATCATAAAGCCTTTGATAATGTGCCGCACTTGCTTCATTAAGGCTTTGGAAATAGTAACAAACCACCCACATTCTCTCTGTCTTTTAACGGTAAGAAGTTTCACTCAAATCATACAGCTTCTTCCAGAGAACCACTTTGGATCAGACTGCCAAGAGGATGTTTCCCCGATCACTAAAATCTTAACCTGTTCGAATCAAGATTGAACCGTTATGTTTCGTTCTAATCCATATAAACTACCCCTTTGAACATTCTACATCAAGTCACTCCCGGGCTTGTACACGGTGAAACTTCCTGTAAAAAATGTAGAAAGTATCTTCAGTGAGTAAATGTCGTTAAATATAACATGGGCCTGTGGAAAAAAAATACCTAAATCATAACAAACGCACTGCCATTTTAATCGTTTGAATATCGGACGAGGGATTTTTCCAAAAGATTTCCTGTTACTGCCTCTGTTTTGTCTGTCGCTAATCTCCTTTCGAATGAACTAAACAGAAATAACTATTAATAAAAATAAACAACAAAGTGGTTAATCATAGTATCCTCATGGATGACGTCAAAGTGTTTAGCAAAGAATGTTGTAAAATTTCTTCAATACTATGACATGTGTCAGGGATGACATCAGTATGGATATTGCTCTAGATAAATGTGCAAAAGTTATATCCAAGTAAGGGAGAATTATAGAAACAAATTCAATAGAAGTTAGGGAAATGGAACAAGAAGAGTCCTTTAAGTATCTTGGAATCAGAGCAGTTAATTCCATAATGCAGATTCTGTGATGAATATTCAGAAACAATTGACCACCCCCTATCAATTTGAACTGGATTCGTATTCGATGAATTTAAAATTTTGTATGACAGGGTGGTCCAATATTTGCACTTGAAAATATGCAACTGTTACGATAAAAAAAATGAAAGACATTGGTATGAACATCACGCTGACCCGGTTACAGATATAGGAACTCTCGAAATTTTATGGGAATTTCAATTGACTTTGTCAGAAAAAATCGAAACTAATCGCCCAGACACAGTGATGAAAAGATCATAAAAACAGAATGGGGTATTCCGCCCAATTCCATTGAATTTTCAAAATATATCGGCCTATTTTGGTCCTGGGCAGCAAGGATAAATTTTTCGTTTTCAGCTTTTTAAAATCTTGTCTGCATCGGCAGTACGGTACGGGCAGAGTATTGGCGACGAAGCGTTTTATCTTGCTATTGTTTCTGTATCTGGTCTTTTGCGTTTGCTTTTGCTTTATTTATTATTAAAGCATTTATTATTATTATTATTATTATTATTGCTGTTGTTGTTGTTGCTGTTGTTTTGTTGATGATGTTGTTGATATTTTAGGTGGCGATGAAGATGATGAATTTGTTATTGTTGTATATCATTCATTTTAATATATTTATTCACAGTATATGGCCTAATTGTGATATTTATTATTAAGTAATATATTTCTCTATTATTATTATTATTATTATCAAGAAGAAGAAGAAGAAGGAGAAGAAGAAGAAGAAGAAGAAGAAGAAGAAGAAGAAAAAGAAGAAGAAGAAGAAGAAGAAAAAAAGATGAACAAGAAGAACAAGAAGGAAAGAATACAGTAAATGCCATATTTGAAGAGTTTTAACAATGGATAAAGTGACACAAGCATCCGAACACGTATTGTATTAACGAAAGATGTATTCCAACACGTAATGAAAGTACGAAGAAACCGGTTTATTTCCTTAGAAATTATGAAAAGAAAGCTAAATTGCAATGCGATATCAATTCTCTTGTATAACGGTGAATACTGGACAATCTCTCCATATATGAAGAAGAAACTGGAGGCAACGAACATGTAGTTTTAAAGAAGGATACTGGAAATTCTAAGGACGAGCGAATAAGCACCGAAATAATCTTAAAGAAAATGGCAATAAGAAAAAATAAACACTTATCAGTATCAGTTAGAGTCAAAATGGCTTTCACATATTATGAGGAAAACCTGCTTCACAAATTTAACTTTCCCAGGGCATATCCAGGGCAAGAGAGATTAAGGCAGCAGATCACCAAAATGGGAATCGGAACGAGAGGCGAGACTCTTCGAAAAGGTACAAACGCTACTAAGTGTCACGAGGTATAGAATGATATGTAGAGCCATAATCGCCTACGCCCTGAAGAGACACGACAAATGACACACCCCATCCATAACGAGAATTTATATCTAAAGTTACATACAAAATCTCGACAAATAAGTAGCAGGAAGCGTCACAGAACTAGGTAAATGTCTTATGGTTGAGCTTGTAGACAA